TATATATATATATATATATAACATTTCTGTCCCCCTCACTTCTGAAATGATGGCTACGCCCCTGCATGTGCACAATTGTTCAAAAGTTTAAGGTCATTAAGATTAAAAAAAATAATAATAATTACACTTTTGTTTAGCCAGGATGCATTAAATTGATGCAATGTTGATAAAATTAATGCAATATTGATAATAATTTAAAATGTTTCTTGAGCAGCAAATCAGCACATTAGAATGATTTCTGAAGGATCATGTGACACTAAAGACTTGAGTAATGATACTGACAATTCAGCTTTGCCAACACAGGAATAAATTACATTTTAAAATATTTTAAATTGCAATAATAATTCATAACATTGTTGTTTTACTGTATTTTTAATCAGAAAATACAGCCTTGGTGAGCAAAAGAGACAGGTTTCAAAAACATAAAAAAAAAATATATATATTTTATATATCAACAGCATAAGCACAATTTAAATTACTTAATAAATTTGTGGTCTTTCTAATGTAGCCAAAATGTTAAAACAGAATAGGCAAGAATTAATGAGCCTCAGACCCTTTGGGGGTGAAAAAAAAGACGAAATGGACCATTTGTCATCTAAGCACTTCTCTAATGAAGTGGATTTCCTTGCCGATATTTGGCACACCATTCAAAATTAGGGCATTTGCTTGTAAATGAGAACGTGTCTCAGATCTAAATGAAGCTTCTGTGAATCACTCAGCTAACTGTCAGGTCCAAATGATTACACTGACTTGCCAAGTGGCAGCACGCCAAGGTTTTATGGACATAGTCAACACCATTCCAATTTAAATGTCTCTAAATTAACATCCAGGTCATGAGGCAATCTAGAATTGAGTGTAGCCAAAATTCTCCAATGCTCAAACATTTGTATGCTAATTAAGAGGAAATAGTCCTGCAAGTCATTCATTTAGCAAATTGATTGTCCTTTCCAGACACCAAAGTGTTCATACATTTTCAGTTTTATGACATTTTGACATCCAGACAATATCAGGGTGGCACACATTGGGTCTACACTGTAAAAAAAAAAAAAAAAAAAGTCATATAGAAACCATTTTTTGATAGGAAAATTCACAAACAATTGCAAAGAAACAGCAAGTAGCATCATATTAAGCAATGCCATATTAATCTCTTATTTCAACTATAGCATTATCCCATATCCTAAAATGTAGACTAAAATTAAAATTACATTTTATTAAAATTAAAAATTAATAAATTAAAAAATAAAACATACGCAGAAAACAGGAACTTGGCAATAGAGGCCAAAATCCTCAACTTTTAATTTTATTTAAAATGTTAGTAATTTTGTTGTGTTTTTGTCGTTATTATTATTATTGTTGTTGTTGTTGTTGTGGCCACATATATTTTTTCTTGTTATTTTTAATTTGGTTTTAGATTTAGTTGTAGTTATTTTAGTACATAAAGATACATTTATTATTTTTTTTATTTTATTTTTTTATTTAGTTTATTTTATTTAACAAAAACTGTTCTAAGGATTTCGTTTTAGTAAACTGCATACAAATCTTTGCAGAAGAAAAACAACAATGGACATAGAAATGTGCTTATAAAACAACCAAAGGTCACATGTGGAAACACCTAACACACTGTCGTGTATTTTTCAGTACGGTATAAAGAAGAAGGAAGAGAAGGAGGCAGAAGCCCAGGCAGCCATGGAGCAGGCATCAGAAGGCAGTCTGACCCGTCCCAAGAAAGCAATCCCTGCCGGCTGCGGCAATGAAGAAGAGGAGGAGGAAAGCATTGTGGACACCGTCATGAAGTTCCTCCCAGGCCCACTTCAAGATATGTTCAATAAAAAGTAACAGCGTTCCACGACAATTTGTGATAAAACGGGAATCATTAATGTCATGAAATCCACCTCCTCTTTCCTCTTCCCCTCTCTCGCATATGTTCTAAGATCTCTGGACTCAAAATTTGTGCCATAACATCTGTCTTTAACTGCAAAACATGACATTTTCTGATTAAAACAATGAGGAAAATACAATGTGTGCACTAGAAATGTTACATTGCATACGTCAGACTCTGTTTAAAGACAAATTTAATGCCCGAGTCCGGACCTTAGAGCAAGAATATTCCCTGTGCTTCATTAATTTTGTTTGTACATAGCAAATGAAAAAAAAAACTGTATATGACTACAGATATATATATATATATATATATATATATATATAACAAACAATGACTATGAGTAAAAGCCATAAATTTATCTTGGAGAGATTTCTCCAATCATATCGTATTTTTGATTGTTGCTCTGTTATAGATATTACTGATAAATCCATGTGGTATACTTATAGATATATACTGTATACAGATTCATTTATCATCCAAACTAGTATACAGTTCCTGCTGTATATCATGAATTGTCACATCATATCTGATTAATATGACTGAAAACTGTAATATGGAAGAGAACGTACGATATCACACGTTCTGGTTGTTTTGCTGGTTGTTTTCCTCTAAGCATGCTAACAATTTTTCTTTGTTTATCAGTACACTGTATCCCATTTCATTTTGCATTTTTAGCTGAAAGACACTGAAATTTAAGGCAATAACTCTGGTTTTGGATTTTGTTGTCCGACAGACACCAGTGTTAAATAGCTTGATGTTCACATCTTTAGGTAACTAAACTTTAAAGTAAGTCCCTCATTAAATTGTCCCACACATTCACATCACACTTTAGTAAACTGGATTTGATCGATTAAAATGGAATCACATGTGTTAGCTCGCCGCCGCGAGTGAAACCTTAGCGCTTAGCTTAGCGCTCATCTTGAACTGACTTATATTTGTGCTTTTTACAGTACTTAAGAATGTGAGGGGTGACATCGATCACATACAACTACAATTGGATCAATAGGGCTATATAAATATAAATATATATTCTCTTCATCTTCACTGCTGTACAGTAGAATCTAGTTCTTAGTGTCTACATTTATTTACGTTAGCTCTCACAACGTGGTTGTGAGCACACATTACGTAAACAGACAGTGACAATGGTGCAATATTTGTTTCTGAATGAAGATGTCCTGTGTCCGTTGGTTGTATATGGGACTCTGATCCCAGATCAGCAATAACAGACAATCTTCATAGTTATGTATTCAGCTTATTTGCTAGAGAATGTTTGTGTGCAAATGCCGTGTCGTCTTCCTAGTATCAGTCAAACAAGCTTAGTAAATAGATCTAAAGAAGGAAGTTGCAAGATTTTTTAGGGTCTCTAAACGAAGCCTGGCTCTTATTTTATGAGCTATGAAAGGATCTGACTTGTGTTTTTATGCTTGCTTGTTGCTAGTTTATGTATGATGTTATTTCTCGTTGCTGTAATTGCACTGAAAAGAGGGAAAACAGCGGGGCTGAATTGCTCAATAATGAGATGCTTGTATTCTCATTATATTATGTCCGCAATTATTGTAAATAACAACGCGTTCAGGAAAACCTGTTAGTCGCAGATCATTGTCTAAACACAGGCAAATTTTCAGATTCAGAAAAATACTAGGAATCAGGCTGCCATTCTGTTGTTTTGAACATTCCGAATATTCCAGACATTCCATCCGATCCACACTGGCTTGTGTGCATATAAATAAAAAATGTTATTCAGTGTCACTAGGAAGCATATAAACCGTGGATTTAAAAGTAAAACTCAGTTTAGTTAATAAAATAGTGTCCATTTATAGCACACGGTCACAGTGATGTCATAGCGTTCTGTCCTGCCATGTAACACAAGAACATGGAGTTGATTAAATATATATATTAATGCTTATGATATGAATGTGCTTGCTGATTAGAACGGCGTCCTTCAACAGCTAAACAAACTAGCCAGTTGCTAAGATGCTAAATTTCATATTAGTGGTCAATCATCCTGAATGTTGTCTGATTTTACTGCCACTTGTGTTTAAGGCCTTTACTCACCAGAAGTGACGATGTCAGCTGTAACACTTTCGGAGAGATGAGATATAGCTAAAAACATACAATTGTTAGCGAAATACGTGCCACCTTCCACACAAATGACTTAAGATCTCACGTTTCCGCCACTCAGTGTACTTTACAATCAACAGAGGCCATTTCTGAGCACAAATTTTGCAGTTTTGGTGATTTTTCTACATGACTATCAACTGCCCTTGATACTGCCGCTCTCATAGTGCGATCTGTGTGACGTGGTGAGTTTCCATCAGCTGCACTGATAAATAAATACTGCCCGAAACCCATAACCCATCCTATCATCACCTGTTTTATTAAACCAAAGAGTGTTCCTGTTTGTGAGAACGTCTACCATTATTTCTTATTTTTAATATTGTTCTTTTACATTATTGTCTAAGGTAGTGTGATATGCGATTACTGTACCATCTCAGCTCTCTGGGCTTTGGGTTTTGTGATTGTCCATAACAGATTCCTAAAACGAACAAAGAAATGATCATACAATTAAATTTAAAATCTAAAAAACAATCAACTACAAAATGTTCACCCATTCCCTCAACATATTTTGTATTCAGTACTGTGCAAGAGTAAAGGAAAAAATATTGCATAGTCATCATCTCGTTCTCTAAATGTAAATCATACATTCACTCAAAGTCATTCCGTGTCTTACAGATGCTAATGAAGATACTGCCTAACACAGTAACGTTATGAAATATTCCATTGTTGTTATCTGAATGTGAGTGTCTACTGTTCTACTGCATCGTCCTGCCTGGTTTCCTCTATGTTAAAAACGATAAATTATCTCGGTGTGATTTTCCGTCTGTAATCCGTTCCTGTTCCTGTCTCTTGGTGGTTGTATTTTGGAAGAATTATGTTTCTTGTGTGGTGCATTTTTTAAGTCATTGTAGATTCTTCTCCCTCTCTCTTTGTTGATGAATTGTATGCATGCATATGATGTGCACTGTAGGTGAGGTTGTAAATGATATTTCTGTGTGTCCTCTGTGTTTTCTGAGCGCTCCACCTGTAGGCCTCACTGCATGCCCGTTATAGACAGATTTTAGACTGTAACATTCCTGCCAAATGGAATCACCAACACACAAATAATAAAGTGATTTCATATAATTGTTTTATGGTTTTATGTTCCTGCTTTCTGGTGGACTGCTTATTGAGGTTGAAGGAAAACAGAAACAGAAATTTTAATATGTGCAAGACTGAAAGATATCTTACAAATAAGATTCTTATAGATTATATAGTGTACTCTGTCTTTTTAGTGTTTTTAATAAGTATTTTGTCTTATTTTCCAGTTAAAATATCTAATAATCTTTATAAAAAGATTTAGTTCAGAAGCAACACTTCACAAGATAGTAAGACTTGTTTTCAGAGTATGTATCTTTAATACAACTGATTTTGACTTATTATACCGGCAGATTTTTTTCACCTGTTTTAGTATAAACAATTTTAAAACATTTACCAGTGCACAAAGACAAAATAGATTTGTTTTTGTTTTTTTTGGAAAGTTTTTGACACTTGAACAATCCATTGAAAACCCTGTATTCCTTGAAAACAAGCCTTGACAAAGGTCTATTAGGCCTTTTTAAAAGATGCAATCAAAAAGTCTTGCCTATAATGAAAAGTCACATAATTTCTGCCATCGATGGCAAGTTTAGAAAACCTATTAGAAATGAATATTAAGATGGCACCCCTTACCCATTCAAGAGCTCAATAATTTATCTTAATGAAAGAGTTCAGAATGACAGTTCTGGAAGAGCCAGTAGCCAAAGACGACAGAGAAGATATAAACAGGTGCTTACTACACTCCTTCAACATCTGGCATCTATCTAAACACAACTCTAGTAGTTCTAGTAGCTTGTAGTTCCATAATTAGGTCCAAGCTGGAATGCAGAATCAGTCTCTAAGCCCCTCTGTTGGAGTACAAATCTTATTACTTTTATTAGAATGTAAAATTTTAAGATCCAATATGAAAACACCTGAATGCTATTTATTCTCACTTACTGTATATGGGAAAGAACTAGCTCTGTTGTTTTGGTTTCCCAAATTCCCAATGGTCAAAAAGCTAATGAAAGTAAACTGCTTTAGATACCTTGTGGCTCCTATGTTGCTTTTAACGGTGCAAGTGGGAAATCAAGAAACTAGAGCTCTAATTGCATAGCGTAGCGTATTCCTGCATATCCATTTACTACCATGCCTGTGCTTTTGCACCAATACACGCACCCCACTTCCTGTTCCACAAAAACATGAGGATTCTGGAGAAAAAAATCAATTCCATTATCATTTACGCTCAAGGGTGGCCTTTCATACTCAGCTGCTTTCTTCGTCTCAGAATAGCACTCAGCTGGTAGGAGAGCCAGGCTTCAATTGGTTTCCTGCAGCCATGAAAAGTCTATGTCAATTAAATGGTCTCCATTGGGTCCTACATAAGGCTAGTGAAGAGACCCCCTTCACATCTTACACAAGAAACGTTTCTGAGGTAATCTCTTGAGGTGGATCTCTATGCAACCTGAATTCAGCTTCGCATGTTATCTAAAACAATAGCAGCAGTATGGGATGAAGACTGTTAATACACTATTCAAACTTTTTTTTTTGAAAGAAAGAAAGAAAGAAAGAAAGAAAGAAAGAAAGAAAGAAAGAAAGAAAGAAAGAAAGAAAGAAAGAAAGAAAGAAAGAAAGAAAGAAAGAAAGAAAGAAAGAAAGAAAGAAAGAAAGAAAGAAAGAAAGAAAGAAAGAAAGAAAGAAAGAAAGAAAGAAAGAAAGAAAGAAAGAAAGAAAGAAAGAAAGAAAGAAAGAAAGAAAGAAAGAAAGAAAGAAATGAACAATTTTATTCAGCTTCAAAAGTTTAGGGAAAAGTACAAAAAATAAATAAATAAACAATTTTATTCAGCAAGAATGCATTAAATTGGTCAAAAGTGACAGTAAAGATTTCCATTTCAAATAAATGCTATTCTTTCCATTCATCAAAGAATCCAGAAAAAAAGTATCACGTTTTCCACAAAAAATGTTAAGCAGAACAACTGATTGTGATTTGTTTACAAATCTGACTGATCTGGTTCTGAAATTCAACAAGATACTGATTCAATGATCTGGTTGCTGCAGTTTACAGCTCATTGGACTGTAAGGCTTCAGAAGTTTGGTCACATGGACTATTTGAGTCACATGGACTATTTGATGATATTTTTAGTATATCTCTTGTATCCCTTTTGACGCTTGAACATTTCAGTCCCTATTCATCGTAATTGCACTGAAAATATCAATCATCAATCAAAATCTATCTTTCTGTGTTCCTCAAAAGAAAGTAAGTCATACAGGTTTGGAACAGCAGGAGGGTTAGTATGATAACAGAATTGTTTTGTAAAACCAAGATCAACTGCATCATAATGTTATTAAAAGGAATAGTTCACTTTATTTACTCACTCATGTCATTCCAAATCTGTACTTTTCATTCCTCTGTGATGAACAAAATTAGATATTTTAAAGGAAGTTGGGAACTAAAAAGCATTGGAGACCATTGCTTTCTATTATAAGTCCTACATGAAGGTGATTGTTCATTTTTGGGTAAACTATCCCTTTAAAAAGGACACAAATTTAAAGAAATGGCTATCGGGAGGCCCTGGGGCCTTAGATTGCCAGGGGCCTCTAATGCCTCAGGCAATATTCAACCCAAGCTAACCATTCAGAGCAAACTGACCACTAGGGCCTCCTGTCAGATCAGACATTTTCAGCTTTCATCATTTGTATCAAATGTTCCTGTCATACCAAACAAATACAAGTCTAAAAGATCAAGCCTCTTTCCATCACTTTGCATTTACATTTCTGCCCTAAATCACAAATGTTGCTTTCAAAAGTCCATCAGTTCCATTATTTAAAAACAATTACATTTTTTTAAATATTTATTTAAAAAAATGAATACCGAAATGTATTTGCCTTTTGATATTGCTATATTCATCAATCATGCACTATTAGACCAGAAATACATCCCAAAAACACTTAGCACACTGACTGTATGTTTTTCACACAAGTATGAATGGCTCCATGAATCACAATTTATGCTAAATTTAGCATTAGCAATACACTATCTTGACTAAATGCACTGTAAATTGTAGTTCATGCAAATCATGACGAATGACTACCAAGGATTCTCTGAATTCTGCTTATGTCTAATATGTGATGCAAATGAATATATCACTCCAAGAATATAAGCATTCAATCACCTATCCAGCCAATCTCCCATAAATCTGCATGTCTGCCAGTCAGGAGATATCTATTTGCATTCAGTAGATAATGAGATTAGATGTGTAAATGAGGCTGAAGAGGAAAGATTGGGAGGAGTTTTTGGCCCTGGAATTGAGATTCATCCTCTGAAATATGATAGATATTTTTTTTATGGCCAAGGGACACCATAATTGACAGCTCCATTGACACGCAAATGGAAAAAAGAGGCTGTGCTCTGGGATGGAAGAGCAAGGAAGACATCTCTTCTGGGACCTGCAGCTTTTAGGGACAGGTGAGGAGATGGCCATACACTCACACACATACAAGCCCCGCCTCTAATGACAGGCGCTGACACATATCAGTAGAATTATGGGCCATTTAATTTCAAAGGTTACCCCTGGAGGACTTCTCCATTTCAGCATGTTATAAAGAGCGAGATTGAAGGCTATGGAGATTAGAAAAGCACTGCTGGAGAGACCCTGTGACCTCAATTAGTGAGTCTGTGTCCTTAGCCATTTTACCGATACTGAGAAGCAGGGACAAAACACTCTCAGTTGGAAGCCAAATGTCGGAAGATTCCAAATTGATGCGACAAAAACAGTGAAAAAGGCATCAAGACACATATAAGCAGTAAACAGCATGAGATAAAGTCGGTTACCTTCAGCTAAACTGGCACTGCACTGCACAACTTTTGTCAGCTGAACCTAGACATAAAATATTTGAAAGTAACTCCTGAGATTTGAAGTTAAAATTTCAATAATTTAACAACACATTCATAGTTCTGGTGTTGGTTAATGGTTATTAATATTTAATATTTTTATAATTTAAAATTATTTTGATGTATAGGACTGCATGACTTGGTCTTAAATTAAATTGTGTTCGATAGATTGATAGATTTTTTTGGGGCATATATTGCATTTTAAGCTGCAATTTAAACTTTCATTTCATATGAAAATGTCTTATAATACTGAGACAAAAGGAACAAAGAACAAAGTTACTTTGTCACAGCCTTTGATTTGATAATCACAATTTGATAATACACATTACTATTTCCATTTTATTTTGAATAATTGTGACACCCCATTTATTTTAATGTTGCATTTGATTTTGAAACCCTATTTGGGAAACCCCATGTAAAATCATCCAATATGGTAAATGAGTTAAGAAAAAATGTTGGTTATAAATACATATTCTGAAAAGCTGCTTGAACCAATTAAAATAAAAAAAATCTACAATATTTGTATGTGCTAAGTATTGCTATGACCATTAGATTACTGTTTTGACAGCTTAGCAACATGCTAATATCAAGTTCTATTCGAATCTCCTTTGCATAACTGTTGCTGCATATGTAGAAAGTTCAAAACATGTTTAATTTCCTTTCTAATCACAGTATATGCAGTAACAATTACTTATCAACATGCAATAACAAATGCATGTTACTGTTTGCAGTCATAAAAATCAGACACCCTCTCCATGAAATCTGATCACAAGTGGTCACCGAAGACGTCTTAAAAGATGCATTTTACTACCAGCAATTTGTCTCTACCAGCGATTTGTCTTACTTGTGATCGGATCACCTGAGATTGCTGTTAATGCCAGGTGTAAACAGGGCCATATGACCACGTTTTCGTCACACAGCAGGTCTTGGTGTACATAAACAGGCCTTACATTCTCAATCTGTGCACTCGAGTGCCTTGGTTTACGTAATGCCTTGTTTTCTGGTGTGTTTGCAGCCCCAAAATAACATTAAGATACAGAAGGAGCTTAGCTGTGCTTCATGCAGTTTAAAGTATCCAGCAGATAGTGCAGCCCCAGTGTGCACTGAAAACATATTTACACAAGCTCCGCTGCCATTGAATATGGCGGTGCTAAATATCACAGCCCATTTTCCCCAAGCAAA